ATATTGTTTTGTATCATTATTTTCTTGTATTTGACTTCTATTTGAAAACTAAAAATTCATAAAAGTGAACATTATGTTGGTTCTATGATTTTAAATTGAGAAAATTATATCAATCACATTTCTCTTATGATTTATCTTCTTTGAACATGATAATCATTTGTAGAACTCTCATTATTACACAACATCATATTTTATCATTCTTTTACTTTATTACATCATAATAATTCATAATTGATAACAAAATATTTAAAATGAATGATTAAATGATATAAAATATACATGAAATATAAGAAACATCATTGAATGATAATAAATGATAATAAGATGTAATGAATGAATAATGAATTAATTTTATGAAATTCAATATGATAAATAAAGAAGATGTTAAATTTTAATGATTTAAATGAATGTTTCTATCATTCATTTTCATTTAATTAAATTAGATGAACAGAATGAAACATTCAAAATTAGTTGTTATTGTGAATACATGAAATTATAAAAGTGAACATTGTAAATTGATTTTGAAGAAGAATGAAATGAAAGAAAGTGATAATCAACAATAAGAAAATAAATAAACAAATAGAACATAAAGAGATATACAATATGTGATTGTTATTGATATAATTGAATTACAATAATTAGAATAGAAAGAAAATACATGAATCAAAATGATGAATATATCAAATAATAAAAATGAAAACAAATAATTGTTAATATTTTAGATATTAATCAATATTGATTTACACAACACATTAAAACAATAAATAAAATAATATTGAATGAAAATCTAATACAAGATATTTTGAAATATGAATAAAATAAAATGTATTTAATGATATGAATGATAGAATGATATAATCAAGATATATAATCATTAAAATTTATATTATCTTTTATTTTTATTTCTTTATTCATTTTTATATCTTTTATTTTTAATTTCATTTTATTCTTAATTTTAAAAATATATTATGTTTTGTTTATTTGATTTATTATCATTTTATTATTTATTATTTATTTTATATGTTTATGTTATTTCATTTTATTGTATTTATTTTATTTATTCTTATTTTTATTTTCATTTGATATTATTTTGTTATTTTGTATGTTAAATTGTTTATAATTATATTATTATATTATTTATTAACATATTCTATTTATATTTATATTTTATATTATG